GGGTGATGGGTATTGAGGAGGGCACCTTTTGGGATGAGCACTGGGTGTTGTATGGAAACCAATTTGACAATAAATTTCACATATTGAAAAAAAATTTACTGTTTATATATTCATAAAAAAAATAAAAAAATAAAGATATAGGTCTGAGTTTCTTTTAATCAAATAATCATTTGTTTATAATTAAATAGAGCTTGTAGTTATTTAATAAGTATCTACTAATAAGTTCCTTATAGGATAGGCCAGATAAGCAAAATAATTTATTGCTAGACAATACTGTATAATACCACATATTGTCAGACAAATGTTATGAATGTCTAAATTGCATACAAATTCTGAACTTGAATAAAACCTGAAAACTGTAATATTAAGAATTTTCTACAGTTCATGAAGGAAATAGTGACAAGCTAACAAAAATGTGTATATTTCTTTACAGATGATCTGACCATAACTCCCACTGATACTCGTTGGGTTGGTGCATGGTGGTTTGGCTTTTTGATTTGTGCAGGAGTGAATGTGCTCACTGCCATTCCGTTTTTCTTTTTGCCCAAATGGCTTCCAAAGGAAGGACTAAAGAGTAATGCAGACATCATTAAAAATGACAAAGAAGAGAAACAAAGAGAAGAGGTCAAGAAGAAAAAGGATGGAATCACTAAAGGTAAATATAAATACTATATAATTTATTTTTTATTTTATACATATGTGTCTGTATTTCAGTCTAACACTATAACATGCCAGGCTGCATTAAGACAATTTGTCATTAATAGTGAGTAGTCAATAATGTCTAACTAGTCTGAGTCTTCCTGTGCTACTACATGGAAATAAGTGATATAATTTCAAGACAAATCATCTGTGGTCAGCATTTATATAAAATTTTATATCAATTCAGGCACTAAATAAATAAATAAATCCCCATTTGCCTTTAAAAAAATCTATTTTATACAGAACATAAGTCTAATTTAAAAAAAAGAAATTCAAACTGAGAACAAAAGGAGGAAAAAATATACACTATTTCAAAGTGTATACTTCTGAAACAAAAACTGTTAGCTTAACTTGAGCTTCCTGGAAGTTAAGGCATAAAAAGAATACATGAAAGGTCATATAATTCTCTATATTTGATACAGAGAGGAATAATAGTTCTTAAAGAGAAACTGTTCTCAAGTAACACATTGCAATTAAAGAAAAACATTCTCATACGATGTATGATACAGTAATACTGAACCACATAGTAGTTCTTTTCCAGCAAGTGCAAGTGCATATTTCATAGAACAGGTTTTTTTTTTTTTTATTTTTGGATAATCTTCAATAAAAACTCAAAGAATAATTTACAGAAAGTGTTTCTGTGGGAAACTAAGCTAAGGTAGTCTAAGTATTTAGTGTTCAAGAACACTGATTCTCAAACTTGGCCATATATTGGAATTACTTGGGAAATTAGAAAAAAAATATTGATGCCTAAAATTCTGTAGTATTCCCAGGTGTGATTTAATTAGTATGAGTTATTACCTGGGCCTTGGAATTCTTAAAGATTGTTCATTTACAAGATGAAGAGAGACTCAGTTTACTTATCTGTAAAATGAGGTAATAATAGTACTTTTAATATAGAGTTGTTGTGTGAGGGTAAAGGAGTTCTGGCACATATTACTGTTATTACTGCTAATAGTATTAGTGTCATTACTGTTGATGTTGCTACTTCTACTATCACCCATAAATTATAATACCAATTTGCACAGAACTTTTATTAACAATTACACATTAACTTAAGCTAGTATTAAACATAATACTTCTTAGATCATTAGGAGTCAATTCAGAACCTTTAAATTTTCAGAGTGATCATGATTAACAATTCTTTTTGAAAGGTTGATGTGGACTCATAGAGGATTTTAACATAGAATATTGTTTGTGATCTGCAAGGTCCATTTTCAAAACTAGGAAAGAGGCGAGCTTAGTATGAGAGATATAGAAAGGAAATTTGAACTACTGAGACTCATTTACTAGGACAGAGATGTCAACAAACACGTACAACTTAAAAAGCTCCAAAGTGCTCTGAACACAACTCTCTCACCCAGCATGTACTTTATTCATATTTGTGATATGAATTCTACAGCTAAAATAGTTTTCTTTGCATTGAGTTGTTCTTCCTTCTCTCACAATTTATTTGTTCTTTGGATTTTGACAGTTTATTGAGAAAAAAATACACAATAAGGAAGGAAATCAAGACAAAAAAACATGAAGATAGGAAAAGTGAAAAGTAACTATACATGAGACTTTGATCCCAAAAAGGTGGCAGGGCAACCCAGAATATTTGCAAGAGATGGGCCACAAATTTGGCTTCGAGCTGTGTCAGTCCACACCGACAGGGGAAAGTTTGGGTTATATCATTTACATAACCCTTAGTATGTTGTACCAAATGAATCAAGATCTCAGAGAGTGGGAACTGGGCGTTTGTATCTTAAAAGATCCCCAGGTGATTTCATTGTGTACCCAGTATGAACCACTGGCAGGACCAAAACTGTTGTTCTGAGGAAGAAGAAAAATACCCGGTACTTGACAAAATTACATCCCATGAATACCCACATATATCTTCATTTTGAATGTTGTGGAATGATAATATCAATATTTGAGTGTGAACTTTATCAAGTTGACCTCCTTCTAAACTTTAAAGAACAGAACAAGCATCCTTCATTCTAGATGATCTCTAGAGAAGAGAGGATATTCAGAGAAGGAAAAAGAGAAGGAAAAAAAGGAAATGGTGTGAATGCAGACAATATTTTCCCCAAGACACAATATTAACTTAATGATGGCAAAACCGTTGTGTTCTGAGCCCTACCCAGCCAACTGCATTATTGACTTGCAGAAGGTACCAAAATGATATAGTTTTAGCTTTCAAGAGGTACAAACAAAACAAAACACACATTTAAAAAACAGTATGAGCATTATAAATAGAAAAATGTAATTTGGAAGGGAAGATGATGTTTTAGAAAAAGTAAATCTTAAAATGCAAAGCCAAGCTAGTATAATACTGCTGTCATTCTTTCATTTCAGATTTTTTGCCATTCATGAAAAGTCTTTTATGCAACCCAGTTTACATGCTTTTCATACTAATAAGTATTATACAGTTCAATGCATTTGTTAATATGTTCACCTTCATGCCCAAATATCTGGAACAGCAACATGGAAAATCAGCTTCAGATGTAATCTTTCTAATTGGTATGTTTATTCTCCTCTATATTAGTAGCCCCACTTGTTTTTTTTTTTAACCATGAAATGGTGAACAGTGTGATGATGTGTCTAGGAGACTCCTAAATTGAAATACATTGAGATGTTTCTGTCTCTGGTACATTTCCTCCTTCCATTCTTCTGGGAAATCAACAAAGGGAAGGAAGGAAAGAAGCCAGGAAATCCTGGCTTTTTTTTTTTCTTCTGCTCTCTCTCCAATCAGAATGCAAATTCAAAATATTTGTGGAATTCTTGGGGAATGTACAAATTAGAGACAGTTTTTAGGTAGGCAAGCCATTAATATACAAAGGAAACCAATGCTAATTCATCAGGAGTCTGTTTTACTTTTTTAACTCCAGTTTATGAATTCTGTCTCTCCTTAGTTCCCTGGCCCTCTGGTGGTGTCTTTGCAGCACAGGCATTCTTATTTTCCTGTGACCACATTAACTTCGGTGGTATTCCTCCACCTTGGGTTTCTCCTGAGATCTTTTGATTGATCTGAAAAGTGAATTTCTTAGACTACCTGGATCCACGTCACATAGAGTGCTTGTTAGAAGTTCAGATACCTGGCACCCACCTCAGACATACTAAATTAGACAATCTGGTGTGGGACTCTGGAATGGATTTTTAAACACTCTCCCAAGTAGATGTGATGTGCTTCTGTGAGAGACCCTGACATTAAGAATGCCATCAAGGGCTGTCTTTTTCTTGTTTTTTTTCTTTTCTTTTTTTAGGGAGAGGGACATGAAATGTAAATACACTTGACAATCACAGGCTCAGCAAAGTAACCTTCTAAGGTACCTTGAATGAAGTCAAATTCTTAACAACTAGAGTTGGTACAAACAATGGCAAAATCATATTAATCATAAACTACTGGTTAACTTTGAATTGCCACTCCTGCCTAAATCATTAGAAAAGAGATATAGATCATGATCCCTGCATATAAGAAATTTACAACCTACTACAATAAATTAAATGAAGGACAGTGATAAGAGTCTTAATATACTTTGACATTGTGGAGCATTTAAAAATCTCTCTGTATGTAATATGTAAATAAGTGGAGATAATAATCAATCAGCTTTCTTCACTGTGAGTTGGACCTAGATGGTTTCTTATGTAAGACATATTAGATACCATATTTGTTCTTTTGCTAAATCACTTTGTAAACAACATTTTACTTACATTTATAGGTATTTATAACTTACCTCCAATATGCATTGGATATATAGCTGGTGGTTTAATTATGAAGAAATTCAAGATTACTGTCAAACAAGCTGCCCACATAGCATGTTGGTTATCTTTAACTGAATATCTTCTTCATTTTTTGTGTTTTCTCATGATCTGTGATAATTCTTCAGTTGCTGGCATAACCACCACTTATAATGGGTATGTTGTTTTCTAATGAATGTCATACTTTTAGAACAGTTAATGACATATTTTATTCAATGATTACCCAATGACCAGATCATTTGCTAATTGGAATTGATAGCAATAATCCATGGTCTTTCTCTTTCCTCCATCTGTCAGTTATAAGCCTATCCCTCCAGGCTAATAGGGTTAGTTAGTTTATGAGTGCACATGTATGTGTGTGGGCTTGTTTTTGGATATCCTCGTAGACATTAAAGTGGATATCAAAGAAACTGCCAATAGTTTTAGGTTGCATTAGGGTATGTTGTTCATATATTTTATACTTTCATAAATGGGTAAAATTAAGAATTAACTATGCAATCTTAATCACCTTTATATGTTTCCACAATGGGCTTAAATCCAGCATAACTGAATCCGAATACATGATATTTTAATTCATATGTAAATTCATACATTTGTGTAATTATGTCTCTATCATTGAATAGTTTTAGATTTATATTTGAGGATAGTCTGAATTTATAGGAAGGTTATGCATACTGATATCATCTCTTGTATTTTGAAAATACATATCCTAACAGGAGTGAGGTGATATCTCATTGTGGCTTTCATTTCTATTTCTCTTATAACTGGTGATATTAAGCATCTTTTCATTTACTTATTGGCCATTTGTATGTCTTCTTTGAAAAATTTTGTATTTAATTCCTCTGCCCATTTTAACACTTGATCTTATCCAAAAGACCAAGAAGCAATCTTCTGCCTATTTTAAAATCAGATTGGTGTTTTTTGTTATTGTTGTTATTGAGTTTTATTAGTTTTTATATATTTTGGATATTAATCCCTATCAGATATATGATTTGTAAATATTTACTCGCATTCCATAGGCTGCCTTTTCACATTGTTCATGATTTCCTTACTGTCCAGAAGCTTTTTAGTGTGATGTAGTTCCGCTTGTTTATTTTTGTTTTTGTTACTTGTGCTTTTTGGTGTCCAATCCAAAAAATCACTGTCAAGGAGTTCACCCACAATGTTTTATTCTAGGAATTTTATGGTTCTGGGTCTTAAATTTAAGTCTTTAATCCATTTGAGTTTATTTTTGTGTATATAAGTTAGGGATCTGCTTTAATTCTTTTGCATATGGCTGCCTAGTTTCCCAACATCATTTCTGAAGCGAGTATCCTTTCCCCACAGTAAATTCTTAGCTTGTTTGTTGTAAATTAATTCACCATATATGCATGGTTTATTTCTGCATTCTTTATTCTGTTCCTTAATCTTTGTGACTCTTTTTTATGTTAATACCAAACTGTTTTTATTACTATTACTTTGTAAAATAGTTTGAAATCAGGAAGTGTGATATCTCCAGCTTTGCTCTTTCTCAAGATTGCTTTGGCTATTTTTTTGTGATTCCATACAAGTTTTAGAATCGTTTTCTATGTCTATGAAAATGCCACTGGAATCTGTATAGGGACTGCACTAAATCTGTAGATTACTTTGGGGAGTATGAACATTTTAGCAATAATAATTCTTCCAATGCATGGGCATGGAATAAATATCTTTCTATTTATTTATGGCCTATTTTGTCTTTAACAGTGTCTTATAGTTTTCAATGTAAAGATTCTCACATCCTTGGTTAAATTTATTCCTTAAGTATTTTATTCTTTTCATTCAATTATTGGATTTTCTTTTTTCTTTTAATAGTTTGTTGTTACTGTATAGAAACAGAACTGATTTTTGTATACTGATTTCCCATCCTTTAACTTTACTAAATTAATTTATTAGTTCTTGCCATATTTTGATGGAGTTCTTAGGGTTTTCTATATATATCATGTCACCTACAAATAGAGATAATTTCACTTCTTCATTTCTGATTTGAATGCTTTTTATTTCTTTATCTCACCTAATAGCTCTGACTAGAATTTCTTGAATAAAAGTGGACAGGATGGACATTCTTATGTTGTTCCTGATCTTAAAGGAAAGCTCCCAGCTTCCCATCATTGAGTATGTTGTTAGCTATGGACTTGTCATAAATGGCCTTTGCTATGTTGTTAAATTTCTTCCATATGTAATTTGTTAAGAGTTTTTATCATGAACGGATGTTGAATTTTGTCAACAAAATAGATGCTTTCTCTGCATCTATTGAGATGATCATATGATTTTTATCCTTCAATTTGTTAATGTGATGTATCACATTGATTGGTTTATGTATGTAGAAACATTCTTGTATCCCTGGAATAAGACCCACTTGATCATGGCATATGATCTTTAGAATGTGTTGTTGAATTCATTTTACTAGTATTTTATTGATAACTTTTTGCATTTATATTCATCAGGGATATTGTCCCATAGTTTTCTTGTAGTGGCTGCATCTGACTTTAGTATTAATATGATTCTGGCCTCATAAATGAGTTTGGGGATGTTTCTCCTCTTCAATTTTTGGAAGAATTTCAGAAGAATTGGTGTTAATTCTTCAGATGTTTGATAGAATTCACTAGTGAAACCAACTAATGCTGGGCTTTTCTTAGTTGGGAGGTTTGTGATTATGATTTAATCTCCTTGCCAGTAATTGATCTATTCAGATTTTCTATTTCTTCATGATTGATCTTGGTATGATATGTGTTCTAGAAATTTACTCATTTCTTCTAAGTTGTCCAATTTATTGTTGTATAATTAATAGTTTTGTCTTATGATCATTCATATTCACGTGGTGTTGGTTGTAATATTTCCTCCTTAATTTATAATTTTATTTATCTAGTTTTACTCTCTTTGTGTTTTTCTATTTCCTTGATATGTAAAGTTAGGTTGTTCATTTGGGGTCTTTTTTTCTTCTTAATTTATGTGTTCATACTATAAACTTTCTTTTTAGAATTCCTTTTGTTGCATCCTAGAAATTTTGGTATGTTATGGTTCCATTTATTTGTGTCAGAATATTTTTTTATTCCCTTTTGATTTCTTCTATGATCCAGTGGTCATTTAGGAGTGTGTTGTTTAATTTCCATATATTTGTGAATTTTCCAGATTTCCTTCTTTTAATTGATTTCTAGTTTCCTATCATTGTGGTCAGAACAAATACTTGATATAATTTCTATTTTCTTGAATTTCTTGAAAATTGTTTTGTGGACTAACACATGATATATCCGAGAAAATGTTTGTGTGCTTTTAAAAAGAATGTGCATTCTGTTGCTATTGGATGGAATATGTTGGATTTGTATATGTCTTGTAGGTGTCTATTGTATTGTTCAAATCTGCTATTTCCTTATTGATTCTCATCTAGGTGATCTATCCATTGTTGATAGTATGGTATCAAAGCCTCTATTATTGTATTGCTGTTTATTTCACCTTTTAGTTATGTTAATATTTGTTTTATATACTTGGGTACTGCAATATTGGGTACATAAGTATTTACAATTGTTATATCTTCTTGATGAATGAATTTCGTTTGTGATTTGATAACTTTTTGTGGCAGTTTGCCTTCACAACTTTAGCATAATCTTTTATGTATTACTATAGTTCTTTCCTTTGTATGAGGCTTACATTAAAGTATATTTATAGAATCCTATTTTATGTTAACAACTTGACTTTGATAGCATATGGAAAATATATTTGCATTTCTCCCCACTCACATTTTAGGTTAACATTAAAATTTACATCATTATTACATGGTGTATCTAATAATGTATTATTCTAATTATGGTTATTTATTTTTTTTTAACTTTAAAACTAGGGTTGTTAGTGAATTAATTATACACCATAATCATGATGTTAGAGGATTTGACTTTGACTATATATTTACCAGTACCAGTGAGCTTTACACATTCACATGTTTCTATAATGTTATTTATCATCATTTTATTCCAGTTTAAAGAATGTCCCTTAGCATTTCTTGTAATTCAGGTCTAGTAGTGATGCACTCCCTCAACTTTTGTTTGGGAAAATTTTTATCTTTCCTTCATTTCTGAAGGACAGCTTTGCCAGGTATAGTATTCTTGATTGAGAGTTTTGTCTTTCTATATGTTGAATATATTATCCCACTCTTCTGACCTGCAAAGTTTCTGTTAAGAAATCTGCTTATAGGGGCGCCTGGGTGGCGCAGTCGGTTAAGCGTCCGACTTCAGCCAGGTCACGATCTCGCGGTCCGCGAGTTCGAGCCCCGCGTCGGGCTCTGGCCTGATGGCTCAGAGCCTGGAGCCTGTTTCTGATTCTGTGTCTCCCTCTCTCTCTGCCCCTCCCCCGTTCATGCTCTGTCTCTCTCTGTCCCAAAAATAAATAAACATTGAAAAAAATTTTAAAAAAAAAGAAATCTGCTTATAGTCTTATGCGAATGCACATGAAGTGACAAATAATTTTTCTCTTGCTGTGTTCAAAATTCTCTCTTCATCTCTGACTTTTGTCAGTTTAATTACTACGTGTTTTTGTGTACTTTAGTTTTGAATTCAAACTATTTGGGATTCTTGGCTGGGTTACACATTCAAATGAGGCTACCGGTGGGCGTTTTGATTGGGAAGGGCTGCTGACTGTGCTCTGCAGTTCAGTGGGACCACTGATAGATCTTTGCAATCATCTCTGGTTGGACAAGGTTGTAGGCTATATTCCCTGGCAGGATGATGCCACTGGTTGGACTTTACCACTGGTCAGAGCAATGGGCTGGGCTTGCAATTGCTCCTGGTCAGCTTGGGTCTCCGGCTGTGTTCTGTAATCAGAAAGGGCCACAGGTGTGCCCTGAAGTTGGGTGGGCCATAGACTGGGCTTCATAATCAGGTAAGCTGCTGACTGTGCTCTGCTGTTGGACAAAGTTGCTGGCCAGAATCTCTAGAGGAGAGAGGCTTCTAGTTGTACCCCAGAATAGGGTGGTACTAGAAACTGCATCTTCTGGTTGGGCAGAATTGCTCTCCAGGTTCTCTCATCAGGTGAGGCTTTAGGTTTGTTCCATGATTTGACAAAGTCACTGGATAGGTTCCCTGCCTGATCAAGGTTTCAGGCTGTGTTCAGCAATTGGGTAAGGCCAAGGACTGGGCTCTGTTGCTGGGTGGTGCTGTAGTCTGGGCTCTGAGGCTTCCCAGGTTACTGTTCAGGCTCCTTGGTTATGTGGGGCCAGAGGTTATGTTTAACAATGGGGCAGGGCTATTTGCTTGGCTTCCAGACTGAGCAGGCTGTAGGATGGACTCTATGACTCCCTAGGTTCTTTGGCCACACTTTCTGGGTGGGTGGAACATGAGGCTATGCTCAGCAGTTAGGGAAGCCTGTGAATTTGCTTCCCTGCCCAGATGTGGCAGCTGAATGGGCTCCACAGCCAGTATAGTCTGTTGACTGTAAATAAAGCAGAACTGCCAACTGAGTTTCTTGGATAAAAGGAGCCATCATTCAGCTCTGTAGATCAGTAGGACTACTGGCTGGGATCTGTACTTGGATAGTGCTGCAAGTAAGGATACTGTCTATCAAGATCTGAGTGCTGGTTGTTGTAATCGCTGTCCCCCTTCTCTATCGAATCCCTAATAAGTGAAGCCTGCAGATTCTTCTAGTCATCCTCATGAAGTGAGACCTGAATGGGCCTCCTGGGTAACATCCCACAATGCTGAAGGTACTTGATGTCTACCTTGGCTCTCTTTTCCCACTGGAGAAATTGTAGACCCAAGGAGGTCTTCTCATTGTGGTGTTGTGCTGACCTGGGGGATGCATAATTTGATCAGAGTCTAACTGTTCCTCTTACTCTTCCAATGTGGTCCTTCTAGGTCTTTGTGCTCCAGGAAGGTGCATTAGCCTCATTCCCAGATTCTGGGATTTTCACAATGGTATCTTGTCTATAGATAGCTGCTAATTGGTCTTCTTATGAGGGAGATTCATCAAAAACAAACTGTGTTGCCATTTTGATAACCCCTGGACACTCTTCATACTAGAAGAATGTCTTTATTTACTCAAGTAGTTAGATTTCTGAAGCTAAATGTAATTAATATCTGCATTATAAACTGAATTTATAGATTTTGATCTTCAAGCTTGCTTTCATAACATATGATCTCTTGTTAAATGCTACCATATGGATCAGCCACAGGGATTAAGTCATCTTCGTTTTTGAGTGCTAATAATACCTGGAAAAATACCTTCCATATGGTACACACTCAATTAATACTTGTTTATCGGCTATTTTTTTATCTGAAATAAATCATTGATAAAGTGGCTACGTGATCACCAAAGTAGGTATATTTTATGCCAGAGATATAGTATTGAGGCCACACATTGATGGTTGGAAGATTTCTGTTTCTGTTTTGGGAAGGAGAGGAAATATAATTTTGGATTAAGATGAAAAGAAGAAAAAGAAAATGATCTTTCAATAGCCATGAATTATTTTAAATTATTTCAGAATGCAACAAGATTTATATATGGAAAACGCCATTCTTGCTGACTGTAATAGGGATTGCAACTGTCCAACTAAAACATGGGATCCTGTGTGTGGAAACAATGGTGTTTCATATATGTCAGCTTGTCTTGCTGGTTGTGAGACATCCGTTGGAGCAGGAATAAACATGGTAACACATTCTGTTGGCTTTCTTTTTCCCACAAAACTTTGTTTTTATGTATTGCACTAGAACATTCCCACATGAACTGGGGCCATATTTGATAAAAGTAAAAGTAAAATTTTTCTGTATGTTCACTTGATTTACCTTTTATTTCATAAATCTTATTTTAAACCTCTGACCACTGATCTTATTTTTAATCAAAAAAAATTTTTGAGTATAGCAGACATCGATCACTGAAATTTAATTTCATAGCTGTTGGCATTATTACTCAGGTAATTTGTTTTAAAAATACTCTGGATTGAAATATTTTTATCATGGAGATAAAGTTGGTGGTTTTGATATCAATTATTTACCTAATTGCTTTTTTTTCCCTTTTTTCCCCCGTATGTATGCTTGCATGTGCTTTCTGTGTTTTTCACATTCTGACAGCTCTTTTAAGAAAATGTAACTAGGTTTTGTTTTGTTTGCCTAAAAACATATTACAACATTTAAATGTTGGTTGGTTATAAAGTAAAATATAACTTTTAATTCCAATTAAAATCTGGAAACATAAAAACTTTAAAAGGACTTACTTTACTCTGTTTTTGAAATAAACTGTATTTTTGAAACAAAGTTTTATTAGTAAGTATCTAAATATCTTAACTGACTTCCAAAACAATTTTGTTTGTCATACTTCATTTTGTAACAAAAGAATATGTGTTTTTAAAAGGCTTGTCTTTAAGGTAGCTGAGTTACTGCAAATTTACTCTATTTATTTAGAAATAAATACCATTTTTCTAAAACCATCATTCAGTAGTTTGTTTTGCTATAATCCTGAGAGGCACCACAAAGGAGATGAGAATAAAAGAGAATAAATGGTCTCTGCCTTGATCCAGTTGCCTATGTACAAAATATTTGTGATTTGTGTTCAAAATTTTACTTTCTTTAAATAGGATAATATTATTTTCTGATAGGTATTCCAAAATTGTAGCTGCATTCAAGCATCAGGAAATTCATCTGCAGTTCTTGGGCTGTGTGACAAAGGACATGACTGTTCCATGATGCTCCAGTACTTTTTAATCTTGTCAGCAGTTGGCAGTTTCATTTATTCTTTATCTGCCATACCTGGATATATGGTTCTCCTAAGGTACAGAAAATATTTTCTTTATTTATATTCCTTTTGGATTCTTTATTAAAGAGCCTTTTTCTAAGAAATCCCCCTGGAGCCCACATTATCTAAGAATCCTGTGCTCATATATATCATTTATTAAGAGTTTAACACTAGGCATTGTCAGATTTTACAAAATTTTAAAAGTATAGGAATATAAATATTCATATTTTGCCATTTTCCTCCCTATCTTTCCTTCTTTATATTTTGCAGTTAAATTAGTGACCCTCTCATTGTTTCACACAAGAGGAGACACATTTATATTTTAGTGTAAACCATATGAAATGGTCATTTTGATGGGTAAAGAGTGGTTGCCTTGCAGTCATTTCAGATGGTTCAAACTACTGGGCAGCAGAGTGCAAAGCTGTCAGAGCCTGTGTCACCAATTCGTATCTACAGGGACTTAAACAGGTCCCTCGATTTATTTGAGCTTCATTTTATTATTTTTTTTAACGTTTATTTATTTTTGAGACAGAGAGAGACAGAGCATGAACGGGGGAGGGTCAGAGAGAGGGAGGCACAGAATCTGAAACAGGCTCCAGGCTCTGAGCTGTCAGCACAGAGCCCGACGCGAGGCTCGAACTCACAGACCGTGAGATCATGACCTGAGCCGAAGTCGGCCGTTTAACCGACTGAGCCACCCAGGCGCCCCTTGAGCTTCATTTTAAATAAACAATAGGCATAATAATAAATGCTTGAGTCTTTTACAAAGCTATTGTTAGATACAAATGATGAAGGGCTTTGCAACACTAGGAAATTGTAGAGCTAAAATTCAGACTTAGGTGTGGCATACATGTGTTCTTGTTATTCCAACATTCTTCATGTCTAGTAAACGATTGTAAACATCCCTAGTAAATAAAATTTGCATTTCTCCCTTTTCTTCATCATATTTCATTGGAACTTAGAAGCAGAGTTAAGTTCATTGTGATTCTCAGTTCACAGCACATTATCCTCATAGGCTGGGACAAATTTTCACTCTTTCTTGATTTTGCTTTTTTCATTCTATTTTTCACCTCCTCTCACCATAGCCACCCATATTAATATGATAGCTACACGAACTTAAATATGTATTTTCTTTTGTAAAATACTAACATCTTTTTGTGAGTATGTGTTCCTATATTCACATGTGTGGTATTGTGCTTTAAATCTTGCTTTGGTTCATAAGACTCACGAGTACATACATTCACCAAATACTGCTTAGTATGTATACGTATGAGTTCTCACACCTTCCCCACTTGAGAGTTCCTGCCTTCTTACAGCCTCACTAACACTTGACATTATCTAACATTCTGACTTAGACTAGTCCAATGACTGTAAAATGGTAGTTCACTGATGTTTCAATATGTGATTTCCTGATCCAGTGTGTTTAGGCATCTTCAAAATTTATTTTTTAGCTATTTAGGCTTCTGATTCAAGATGCTTATTGATTTTCTTTGCTCATTTTCTATTATATGTCACATATTTTTCTTGGTGATTTTGCTGATTATTGTCTAAATTATAAATGTTAATGTAATATTGCTTACATGATACAATTATCTCCTAGTCTCTCATCTTTCTTTTAATTTCTCCATACTCTCTTTTATGAAATTAAATCCTAAATATTGTTGTACTGAAATCTTACAATTTTCTTCCCTTAGGGTTTGTGTGTTGGGGAGTCACATTTTAAAAATGTTTTTATGTTCCTAATCTATACAAATATTCACCTAAATTTTATCCTAATAGCTTTATAACTTTACCTTTTACATATGGTCTTGTGGTTTTTGTTTTTTTTTTAACATTTATTTATTTTTGAGAGACAGAGACAGAGCATGAGCAGGGAGGGGCAGAGAGAGGGGGGAGAGAGAGAATCCTAAGCAGGCTCCGTGCTGTCAGCACAGAGCTCAACATGGCACTTGAATTCACGAATCGTGAAATCGTTGCCTGACCCAAAGTCAAGAGTTGGACGCTTAACCAACTGAGGTGCCCCTGTCTCTTCACTTCTAAACCTTACACATCTTAGGCTTTTAAATTTTTCTTAAAGCATCAACGTGGACCTCCAAAGCTATGTGAAATGATAGTGATAATAGCGAGTATTCTTGTACTTTTCTAATCTTAATGGAAAACATACACATTTTTCCATGATGATATTTGCTGTAGATTTTTCAGTATATAGTTTTCATGTAGTTTCTAAGTTTTTAATAATGAAATAGGTATTAAATGTTATTAGATGTATTTTTCTGCATGTATGATTCTATAATTTTTCTACTCAATATTTTTGGTGTAGTAAAATAAAATGGTAGATATTTTCATGTTGAACTGTTTGCATGGATGAAAAAAACCATACTTAATTATATTTTTATATATGATTTGGTTTGTTTAAATAATACTTTATTTAAAACTGTTACATCTATGTTGATAAATAAAATAGACATATTACTTTTTATTCTTTTTTTGTTTTGGAATCATCATAGGCCCCACAAAATGAATTAATAAATTTTCTATTTTTTAATTTCTGGCACTACTTACATTAAATATTTGTTGAAAGCTATATAAATCCATCTGTGAAAGTATTTATACTTTGGTCTTGTTGGGACAGTGATACTATTTATTATTTTCATTTATTTAGTATTAGTGCCTATTCATATTTTAAATTTCTACTTAAACCTGTTGTATGTAGGTGTTTATAATATTCCTTATCTGATATTCTCTGATGTATCTGAAAGGATTTCTCTTTTCTTCTTACGTATTTTTTTTATTTGCCTCCTCTTTACTTTTTCTTGATCATGGTTGTCAGAGGCTTGTCTATTTTATTTTTCTCTTTTTAAAGAATGAGTTTTGGTTTTGTTAATCTTTATTTCATGTAATCCTGCTCTTCTTGATTTTTTTTTCTTTTAGGCTTGCTCTGTTTTTCCTTATCCAACTGTTTCAGTTTAATACTTAGATCATTTGTTCATTCTGACTACTGTACATAAATCTATACATTTCTTTCCAAATATTGATTTAGCAATGCCTCAACTAGTATTTTCTATGGAGTTTATTTCTATTTTGTAGTGATTTGCCCCACCAGACCAAAGATTATTTATTAATGTGTTATATAATTTCCATATCTTTAAGAACTTTCTATATGTATAATTTATTATTATTATTCTATTTTTATGTTCAGACAACTTAATCTGAAAATTTACAGGTTGGGGAGATGGAATATCAACGTTGTATTTGGGGCCTAGTGCATTTTTTTTTTAGTATTTCATGTCTTTTTGAAAAGAATGTGTAACTGAATTTTGGGTATATAGTTCCATATCTCTTGGATTGAAGTAAAGCATTGTGTTATCTAAATTTTGTAAATGTATTCTTGTTTTTGCCTGCATTAATTCATCAGTTTTTCAGAGATGTTCAAATCTATAAATATTGCTGGTGTATTTCTCCCTATAAATCTCTCAGTTTTTTAATTCATATATTTGGAGGCTATATTATATGATGAAAATGTGTCTTTGATCATTATATTTCTATTGTTAGCATCACTTAATTTTCTTTATCTTTTAGTTATTTCTTTTAGGGAATTGTATTTTGTTTTTCATTAAAATGGAAGTTCTAGCTTTCTTTTGGTTCGTTGTTACTTGTTATATCTTTTCCCTTTCCTTTATTTTCAATCTTCAGTCTTTCATTTTGTTTCATAGACAATTTGCTGGGTATCATTTTATAATCTGAGATAGGTACATTTAGCTCATTTATATTTATTTATTTATTTTTAAAAGTTTATTTATTTTGAGAGAGAGAGAGAAAAAGAGAGAGAGAGAGTATAAGCGGGGGAGAGAGGGAGAGACAGAGAATCCCAAGCAGGCTCTGCATTGACAGCACAGATCCCAATACAGGGCTCAAACTTATGAACTGTGAAATCAAGCATGAGCCAAAAGCAAGAGTTGGACACAACTACTCAGCAACCCAGGTACCCCTCATTTAGATTTCTTGTAATTATTGTGATAAGACTCTTTTTGCTATTTTATTTAATATACTCTATTTATTTGACTTTCTTTTTACTTCTTTTTTTTCTTTTTTCTTTTTTTTTCTTTCCATTGTACAGTGGTACCCCTTTATCTGCAAGGGACATATTTTAAGATCCCTAGCAGATGCCTGAAGCCATGGATAGTAACAAACCCTAAATATTTGATATTTTTTCCTAAAGATACATAACTGTGATAAAGTTTAATTTATAAATTAGGCACAGTAGAGATTAAGAACAATAATTAATAATAAAATAGGACAATTATAACAATATACTATAATGAAAGTTAAGTGCATCTGGTCTCTATCAACATATCACATTGTGCTGTACTCACCCTTTTTCTCCTTGAGATGATGTGAGATGACAAAATGACTACATGATGAGATGAAATGAGGTGAATGATGGAGCTCTTGTGATATACAGACTGTAGCATTCAGCTGCTATTGATCTGATATGTCAAAAGGAGAAATATCTGCTTCCACACCACAGTTCAATGTGGGTAACTGAAACTGTGGAAAGTGAAACCACAGATAAGAGGAAACTATGGTATATATTGGATTTTCTTCTGCTACTTTGATTATTGAAATGGTCAGACTGATTATTGATATTCTTAATTATACTTATGTTTTGCTCATCAATTTTAAAACTTTTCAGTATTAATATCTACCTCCTAATAAAACAAGTACTTAATCATGCTCTCTTCATGTCCCTCCTCTCTTTCCCCACCTCTTTCCAGGGTCATATTGTATAATTGAATACCTGGATTTTTGTTAATATGCTTGTGTTGTCTCTATTTTTGCGGGATCTCCCTGGATTTCCTACCACGATGGCAAAGGGATGCAACATCATTGTTATTCTGCAAATTTAAAGAAAAATTTGAATTTCTCTCAGCATTTTCCCATGATGTGCATGCTAACTTTTCTGATTCCTGGATTCTAGAAATTGTTATTATCAATGCCAATCAATGATAGAGTTTGTAGAATAGTTTAAACTGTTTCAACAGTTTAAATAATAACAGTTTAAATTAGTATTTCACATTTCTGTGAGATCATTAAGTAGTATATTAGATATAGAGAGGAAAGAAAAATTCTTCAGTAAAACTTAAATGCCTTATTTTCTGTATTAAATGGAAACCATGGGACCTAGAGGGTCATGCTGAGTCTCTTGGCTTCTCTTACTTCCTTCCGAGTAAAATCATTGATGTTGTCTAAATAACCTATGTGTCAGGTAGATAATGTCTAGATCAATCTATAAGGTTTCTGAAAATTCAGTAAAACATTTATGTTAAGAAAATGCCAATAAGATGACATTTTTGCTAAAAATGTATGCTTTTGTGAAGAAAGCTACTTTTATTTTCTCAGTTTTGAGTTAGTCAGGGAAGAAAAGGGAATACAGTAGAACTCTCAACGTGAATTCTTTGAGGAGCTAGCCATGGTGATGCTGGAGTGAGTGGGACACATGAAAGTCCACTGCAGAATTATAGTCTCTATTTCTGCATATAGGAATTTCAGGCAACAGTGCAAAAGAGTGGGGATTTTGGAGAGAATGGAGACATCTTTGTGACTCTTGAAATGATACCAAATCACTTAAAATATGTTTGCCTTGGATTTCTTCATCACATTCCTTTGAAAATTTCTATCCTTGTTTTCTTTCTGCCTTTCATTTATTTATATAATTCTTGGCTTTTCTGTATTTTGTTAATACAAATAATTTAAATACAGCTAGGGTTGCATTATTCTTGTTTTAGGCTGAAGGTTTAATCAAGAACTACTGCTTCAATAAATGGATACTGGGGTAGAAACTGATATGAAATATTTTCTTCTTTGATAATTTTCTGATAATAATGAGCAAAAAAATGATAGGTAAAATGCCAAGAATCAAAAGTAGGGCTCGTGTGTAGACGACAAACTGGATAATCAGGCCTTGGATAACCAAGATCTGAGCATGCAAAAAAAATGTTCTAGCGCCCAGTGTGTTACCAGCATTTACAAACAACTTTTTAAAGAAACTACAACAGTGTTTAAATCTCTATTTTCATTTTATTTATGAATTTACTTATTTTTTAGGTGTATCAAGCCTGAAGAGAAGTCTCTTGGTGTGGGGTTACATACATTTTGCACAAGAGTATTTGGTAAAAATTGTTATTTTTTTCCAGCATCATATCAGACCACTATTAACTACCAAGTAAATGAAATCATTCTCTCCAAGTCAGCAAATATCCCTTCTGTTTGCAGCACTTAGTAATTTGTATGAGAATAAGGTACAAGAAGAAATGGAGAATTTCCCCTTTTTCTTGAAAAAGACCTATCTGAACTTAATTTTGCTTTTCAGCTGTTAGAAGATTTGAAAAGCAAATGAACAAAAAATACTTTGTTAAAGTAAAATGTATACATGATTGGTACAAAAAATTGCACAAAAAATATAGAGTCATTAATTCAATGATTTTCAATATCAGTGATTTTTATGTTGCATTTATCCATCACATTACTTATCCTTTATAACTTAGAAATGTTATAGTAAAAGTAACAACTTCTGATATGTAAAAATAAAATGTAAAGCATTCTATTCATACTTTATTCTACAAATAGAGAAAACGGAAATGTTTACAAACAAAATAATGTACCTTAATTCTTACCTTGTTGATGTTTTTTTTTTTCTCCCCTCTTTAACTGTAGCTGGAATTCCTGCACCTATATATTTTGGAGCTTTAGTGGATTCCACATGTTTACACTGGGGAACTTTGAAATGTGGTGAGTCAGGAGCATGCAGGATATATGATTCAGCCAATTTCAGGTAAATATAATAATCTTTTTTTAAAGAATTGCTTTCTAAGCACAGACTGTACATAAAACGACAACATTCATGTATAACACTTTCTTTTTCAGTTACTAGACTACTTTTGGCTGTGCTTCCAGAACATATGCTAATATTACATCTCTATTCCTTATTTATATACCAGAATTTTATTTCCTCAATATTTTCAAACTACTTGGTAAATATAAGCATGGATAACTCCCTTAACCTAGCCTTTCAAAATAATCTTTGTTAAATTGTTTGCAATCAACGCATTATTGAAGTTAATAGCTATACATAAACTACCTTTAAAAATTATATTACTCTTTAAAGTATCCTCATTGCATCCTACATCATTTCAGCATCTTACTAGCCTGAATCTTTACTTCTTTTTACATCTACCTCTACTTTTTGAAATATTTTTCCTTCTTCGTTAAATTTTGCTGACACAAAATTCTTCATGTCTCATAAAGTCTTATTCTTTTGTTAGTATAAATCTGATTTTAAACAAAACTCAACATAATGTGTTTTTGAACAAAATACTTCCATTTGCTCTATTTCCATATTCTTTTTTATCTGGAGACCTGAATTCTGTTTAGATCTGTATCAATTTCTCTTGATCGTACAAAATTGAAAGTACAAAAATGCTTTCATTTACTAAAAAACAATTTAGCATTGTTTAAAACATTCTAAGGTCTTATTTTGATTAGTAAAAGGATATATGGCAAGTACTGTGAAGAGAGCAGACAACATAAGATTCATGTTTTCATCAGTTCTCTGTTCCCCAAAAGCTCTTCAGAGGTAATGTGAAGGTGGGCCCGCGTACATACCTTCACAGTTGAGAAACACTGAGGATCACTGGTATAGATTGGCCTCATCCTGCTGCCAAGATTCCTGTTGATAGTAGCCTTAATTAAATGTTATTTTAGACAAGATGATTTTATTTGTTAGCATCCTCTATCAGTCAGATTAATTAGAGTGGCTGATAAAGTGTACTCGTGAGAAAATTTACCAGATGGTGTAGAGTAGAAACAGGAGGTGGATATTGTTGGTAAACAGTTCTCCATGGGTCTCTTACATTTATGCATATCTTATTAGCAGAGGATTTTGTTTTGGACTATCTTTTCAAGGATATTTGAATAGTAAATGATCTTGGAGTATGTAGATGATGTTTTCCTATGGAGCAGAGTTTGCTGTCTAGGATGATAAAAGTAATAACTCTCTCTAAGGCTGGCAGATTTTCTTCCAACCCGTTTAAGAGAATGGGATTTCCTAATTTCAGGCTTTCTTAGCTGTGAACAAAACCCATTGTATGCACAAAATTCACATAGGTTTCCCATGGTGTGATTTCTTTGGGACTTGAAGGTTAAGGAAAACCAACCTGAACATGAAGCTTGTGATGATTGTTGTACTGTGAGTAAAAATGTCCTTTGTCTCTGGCCTGGAAGTCCCGTATCTCCAGCCAGCATCCATGCAACTATGTCAGGCTAAACTGTCAGTTTAAAATCCAGGGAAAATCTAGGACTCTTTTACAGTTCGAAGAATAGAAATACTGACTAACTTTAAATTATGCCAAAAATGTAAAGATATAAGGATGGCCACTTACATTTATTCCAAGCTAGTAGAAAGGAATAAAAGGATTAAGGACAATTCAAGGGAAGTAAGAAATAGGAAAATAAAAGCACACAAAATAAGTTGAAAAAATAAGCCTAAATACATCAGGTTTCATAATAAATGTGAACCAACTGAACTTGCTTAAAAGATACTTTCATGTGAGTTTCAGTGTTTTCAAAATTCCAGCTATATGTTGCTTACAAGACATAGCTTAAAATATATATGTGAAGAAAGATTGAAGATAAAGGTCAGGAAAAAAAATACCAGGCAGATATTAAATCAAGCTTTTGTGATTATATTAATGACTGTAAGACAAAATAGAATTTAAGGTGAAAAGGATTAACAGTTAAATAAGGATATTACTTAGTAATAAAAAAACACTTTCTCAATAATATGTAACAGTCATCAACCCATATATATTTATCAACCTAATCTGAAATATATAAAACAAAAAATTTACAAAATTACAAGAAGAAATCTACAGAGTTGAAAATTTCAACACACTTTTCCAAAAGGAAATATAAAATATAGGCAAAAAGTTACTGAGGATACAGAAAAATTTGAATCACCAAATTATACAAGAGTTATCTAATAGCTATACAGCAATTTAAAAAACCATAACCAATAGAATATATATATTTTTTCTCAAGCCTATAAAAAACATTACAACTAAGTCTAATGTCACAAAGTTAAAAAAAAAAAGTTTGATACCTTACAACCATTGTTTTCTGTCCATAATGCAATGCAATTAGAAATCTATGATAAAATGTTCCCAAAACCTCACATTTGAAATTACTTACAGGTCAAAGCATAAATTATAATAAAAATAATGAAATAACTAAAACTCTATATCAGCGAAAGCACTGCAGAGGAAAATTTGTGGGACAAAGCTAAAACAATACTCAAAAGTATATTTAGAACTTTATATGTATATATACATATTTTTTTAAAGACTAAAAATTAATGAACTCATTATTTATAAAAAGGACAACAATGTAATTTCAAATAGGTAGAAAAGCCTGATAAGTAGCTCAATAAGTTATGTATTGATATATTTCTTATTCCAAATAAGAACAATAGATATCATTTTAAATTTGAAAGGGATATATCTGCGTTCAAAGATAATATATGGGGCACCTGGGTGGCTCAGTCGGTTAAGCGCCTGACTTCAGCTCAGGTCGTGATCTCACGGTTTGTGGGTTCGAGCCCCGCGTCAGGCTCTGTGCTGACTGCTCAGAGCCTGCAGCCTGCTTCAGATTCTGTCTCTGGCTCTCTCTGCCCCTCCCCCATTTGTGCTCTCTCTGTCTCTAAAATAAAAATTAAAAAAAAAAGATAATATAAACATCATTCTGGACATCCAGTTTTCCTGAAGTAGAAATTGAACAGAAACATAAAGGAATAAATAAAAGCTGAATACAAAGGCTAATGCAAAGCCTCTAAGCCTAGAAACAGGAAGTGGTTTCTGGGTGATCAGTTTCCAAAGAAAAAATAAAGTACTTCCAAGGAGTCAAGAGATTAGATCCAGATTCAGTGCTTAATCCATGAGGTGGTGTTGAACACCCATGAACTGGGTTGAGTAGTGTCCCTCAAAATTTCATGTCCACTCATAACCTCAGTATATGACTTTATTTGGAAATAATTTGTTTGTAAATAAGTCTTTAAATTAGTGAAATTAAGATGAGGTTCTTCTGGATTAGAGTGGGCCCTAAATCAAATCACCAGTGTCCTTATAAGAAGAGGAAAAGAGGCATAGAGACACATATATACGGGACGAATCCTGTGTGAAGGCAGAGGTAGAGATTGCAGTGTTGCATCTACAAAACAAGGAATGCTATGGATTGCTGCCTGTAGGTAGGAAGAGTCAAGGAAGGATTCTTTCCTGGAGTCTACTGAGGAAGCAAACTTTGGCTTCAGATTTCTAGCCTCCAGAACTGTGAGAGAATAAATTTACTTTGTTTTAAGCCCTCAAGTTTGTGATGCTTTGTTATAGAGGTCCTAGGAAACAAATACAAACCTCTCTGTAAAAGAGGTTTTAAAAGAATCTCTTTAACACATCATTGTTATGTTACTAAGGAGGAACTAAGACATAGATATATCCAAGAACCAGACCAAACAATCTGTTCTCCTTGTGATTAATCCCAGTATCACTATAAAAAAATCACCCTTATAAAAACTCAGTCTGGCCTCAGGAACAAAGGGAAAGCTATTAGATTTAGAAGACTAAATACAGAGAAAGAGCAAACAGAACAAATTTGGAAGAATAAATACACAGGAAGAAAACCAGAACAAACAGTCAACAAAAACAACAACAAAACATTAAAAATTGTTTAGTTTTGCAAGCTAAAACTTAAAAACACATGAATAAGAGGAGCCAAGATGGCAGAAGAGCATGGAAGTTTTTTGAGTGTCTTGCATCCATGAAATACAGTCAGACAAACACTAAACCATCCTGCGCACCTAGAAAACTGATCTGAGGATTAACACACAATCTGCACAACCTGAACCACAGAATTCAGCAGGTATGTGACATGGAGTGGTGAACTTGGGAAGACAGAAGCCACAGAGGGCAGGAAGCTGCTTTTTTGTGTGGAGAGAAGACAGAGACAGGGGGAAAATATGGGAAAAGCACCCCTCCCCAAAAGCAGCTGGAGGAAAAGAGGAAAATTGGAAACAGCCACAGGGACTGAAGTAAAAAGAAACGAGTAAGGAGAGGGTTTAAATTCCATTACGACTGTAAACAGGAGGAGCACAGAGTCTGAACTCTGCAGCTTGATACCTGACGGTGCTCTGGTGGAAAGAGCAAATCCCAAGGAGCAGAGTGGGGTCCAGGAGGTTCTCAGGCCACATGGGGAGAAGCAATTCCACTGCTGGAAGGACATTTGGTAAAGGCTGTGAGGCCACCCGGGCTCAGCAGGCCCCAGAAGGCGGCCACATTCGCTGGTGTTGGAACAAGGTCGTTAAGGGTGAAGCCTGGTGCCAGATGTGTGTTGTGATTTTCCATAATCCCTGAAATGCTGCTGCTACACTATCTTGTGAACTTTTTCTGGGGTGGGCTGGCATCTGGCCACAGTCTCAGGGCACCAGCAGCAGCAGGGTCCAGCAAGCATTCCTGGGTGCAGCCAACATTTGGCCATTGCTCAGTGAGACCCTCCCGCAGAGGGGCTGAATGGGTCAAAGCTGCACAGAAGTAAGGGGCTTGGGAAAACAGTCGCATCGGAGATAAAACTCAGGAGAGAGGTACTGCCTGGAGCTTGGTCACAGACAGTGAAAAAGCAGGAAATGGACAAAAGCTGAAGACAGAGGACGGATGCATGATTGCTAGTTGCAGAAAACAGAGTTCCAACACTAGAGACGGGTAGCTGGGTGACACCATTTTCACCGCTTCC